AGTGCACAACACACTATCAATGCATTCCTTCATTGTCATGTATAGAATTACATATTGTCATATTCACTTCCCATATTCAACTAGATTTATCCTCACTGCCTATATTTAATGCCCGTGTTTAATGCCCACGTACAAAACTACAAACCCTAATTTCAACAAAACATAATTTCAAAAATAGAAAAGAAGAAGAAGATGAATGAGAATGGAGGAGATGGCTGGGCGGCGCGGATGGTTTGGGACGGTGGCTCCCATGTCTAGGGATGGCGGTGGCACCCATAGATCGGGACAGTGGTACGGTGGTGCACATGTCTATGGACGGCAGCGGGACAAGCGTGCGATTGGGCGGCGGCGGCGAGCAAGCGCGCGGTAGGACGATGGGGCGGGCAAGCATGAGGCTGGATGGTGGTGGCATGACGGGGCGGCGGCGGCGGCACGACTGGACGATGGCAGTAGACAAGCTTCTCCTGGGTCTACCCTTCTGCTTATGATCGTAGGTTTTGATCAATTGTAATGGATGCAATTGTTATGGACTTATGGATGGATGGTGGAGTATTCAACGGAGTAATACGTAATAATTGATTATATGGAACTAGCGTATTGTTTTCAATTGTTATGGATGGATGGTGGAGTACGTATTCAACAGAGTAATACGTAATAATTACTTATATGGAACTAGCTTTTTGTTCTCAGACGCGGTATTCGGGTAAATTTGGAACTAAGTAATAGATACGATATGTCTGATCATATGGATACATGAAAGAAATCATCATATTAGGGAAAAAACATATGAATCATACATTGAGAAAGATGATATCTTTTAGTCATATAAGGGGTAATAATCTCTTTATTAAAATGTGATTATCATTGTAATGATTTTTTAATAATATATTGTATGCCCTTTATTCCGGAAACAGACTCTTTGTGCTTTAGTACAAGCGTAAAACTGCATACATCCGACCCTCTCTTACCCCAACGTAGGTGAGAGCCTTTGTGGCATTGGGGTAATTTTATGCCCTATAAAGTAATTTTTATAAATTGTAGTCACCGTTCAACCTCTTTTTGTCAAGCGCTTCTACTTCATTCAGCGAACAATTCAAATTCAACATTTCAAGATTCAGTCCCCGAAAATAACTCTAATTCAGACAATAGCTCTAGATTCATAAATTAATCTCTAGCTCTAACTCGTTGTACCAAACATAGCCTAAATCAGAGATGTATTAGGAAAATGATGATAACAATCATTTTTAATCATAAAAATGCTTAACATGACTATATAAATCATTTTTTTGGAAGAAGGTGGCTTATATTGATATCACAACAATCACAAAGAGAACATAAATATTAAGGGTTTTTTACCTCAATATTAATAATAAGTGGGTGACTGACAAAAAAGTGACCTTTTATTCAAATTTCCAAAAATGTGACTCAAAGTTTTAACGGTACAATTATAACTGCTACAGTGACGTTTTATAGTGACAATGCTACAGTGATGATTTTACAGTGACAATGTTGTAGTGACGATTTTACAGTGACAACATCATAATGACTCCATTCCACGGTGTTTACCGCCCACCCACCCACCGCAGTGACACCGCCACCGGTGACACTACCACAGAATAACCACAGTGACACGCCGACTCCGACAATAGTGACACGCCGATTCCGGACATAGTGACACGCCGATTCCGGCCATAGTGACAGGTCGTATCCCCATCCCTCCCTTACTCACAGGAGTCACAGCCCCTCAGCCCCATCCCAGCCTACCTCGCCCTAGCCCGCTCTAGCACCGCCGCTAACCACCACAGCGGACCACCACCACTGGCCATCACCGTCGACCACCGCCCCACTACGGTTTGGATGGAGTGTTGAGAGGTGTTAATAATGGAAGTGTTAGTAAGTGTTCGCAAGAGCCCGGAAGGGATGGTAAGTGTAAGTGTAGAACCTAAACTTACATTGTTTGGGAAAGCTAAAAAATGAAGTGTTAATAATGGAAGTTTTTCAATTAAAATTACAATAATATCCTTATCTAAATCCTAAATTCAAAATAAATTGGAAGTTAAGCACAGATCGTGACCATCCTCGGTCTCAATAATTGGATGCCTGATGCCATTACTCCCCTCTCTCTGGTAATATTCTATCCTTTTGTTAGCGGTGGGAAGGAATTGCAATAGTGACTCGAATTGAAGAAAGAAGAATAGCAAAAGTTTCAATTCCTCTCCACTTGAATAATCGTTATTTAAGAATCGAAGAAGAAGATGCCACATAAATTGAACGCAGAAGAAGTTGAATTCCTTTCTAGCTAGTTCGTGTTCCATCCGCTTTGACGAAGAAGACCGAGTGGATAAGAAACAAAGGGCGAGGATGGGATAGAAAGGCTGTACGTAGGAAAGGGGCAAGAGTTGTCCAGCACTCCAAAACACTCCAATTTGGGGTGTTAAAAAAGTCACCATTTGAGGTGTTAGAAAGGTTTTCTTCAACACTTTTAAACACTTACTAACACTCCAATTTTTTTAAAAAAAGTCCTCCCAAACAAGTGTTAAAATCAACACCTTTCAACACTTCCATGACTAACACCCATCAACACTCAATCCAAACAGCCACCTCCCCATCCCCAAGCCCCCTCCCCAACCACCATCCCCAACCCCCAGCTCCCTGGCCCCTGCCTAATCTTCAGCTCCGCCATCCCAATCCCTATCCCTGACCCCTAGCTCCTCCATCCCTGCCACCGCCGGAACCTGATGCCACCGACCACCACCACCGCTACCAAACATTTTTTTATAAATCCATCGTCGTCCTACGATCTATGCTAGATCGAACTCGTCGAAAAAACGTTTTTGTCCAGCGCCGCCACGGAGGAAATTTATGCCGCTGATTGACGAGATCTTCTTGCGCAAACATTAGATCCACCAACAACGGCAAGCTCCATGAAAGCCGGTGACGAGATTAGGCGTACAATAAGAAACTAGATGGAGAAGATAGAGGTGGCGAAGTAGGTAGTTGCATGCGGCACTGGAAGGAGTCCGACGTTGGAGATCGACGACCATTGTTGTGCTCTCCAGACTCTCCAGATCCGTTCGCGTGTTGTGCGAAGAAGGAAATCTTTAGCTGACAGGCCGGGCTGTTTATTTAGGTCAAATTTTTGTCCAAAGGAAAAATGGTCATATTTTTGTCTAGTCAAAGTCCATAGGTGATACTTTTGCCATTCTTTCAAATATTAAAGGATAACTCCCAACCGCCAGCCCTCAAACTAGAGTAAGAGTGAATCACCTTCTAGAAAGCAATATGATTCGTTGATCCTATAATGGACATAACTGAGCCAAAAGCGATCAAAACTGACCTCTCGTCACTCAATCGTAACTCAAGAGTCTGACACAGAAAAACAAAACACAAAAACAAAAATAGTCTAACCAAAGTACTTATTAAACTTATTAAATTTCAGTTGCTTCTCCAGAACGACTAGAGACTCCCACTATCCTTCTTTGCCATAAAGCTTGCTCACATCTCTCGAGCCTGACAACCAGGTCCAGCCCCTTCCCATTTTTTGGTTAATTTAGAGTCATGCCATCCCCACTTGGATCCTTGTGCTCATATTCCTTCCACAGCCTTGTGCGCTTCAGATCTCGAGGTACCTCCTCCGTATTACCTGATCCTGCTCCGCCTGCCATATTCTTCCCAGAATCCATCACAATTATGACCCAATGTTATCTCCCTGCCTCCATTTGCCCGACCATTCCTCCCTCTCTGCCATGTTTATTTTCTTGTTGCTTCTTACCCATGCTTGCTGATGAAGACCTATCTTGAACCAACCACTTATTACCACTTGTAGGGGACCCCATGCTCGAAGCCACACTCTAAAGGATTTCTCCAACACTTTGTTTTCACACTCATACGCAAAAGAACAATACTTGTTAGTATGACCAATAGCTCTCCACACAAAACAAAAATTAGGTAATTTTCCATATTTAAAATCCACCCAATGTTCAACTCCCTGTTATTTCTCAAGGGTTGTTCCCACCTTTAAAGGTTTTCCTGCACCCACATAGACTTCAATTCTAATATAAGCTTCCCATGTTCCTTCAAATAAACTTTCCTCAAAACTGATAAACTTCCAATAAAATTGTCAATCCGTTAAGCCACTCCTAAAGTCATATAACCATATGAGTATATGACACATTATGCACTTGAAACCAAGATTCTGCTACATTTAGCGGAACCTTCAGGGGTATATCCCCCGACATACCAACCCTAAGAATCAACAAATTTTGTTCAAACAACCACGAGCCACTGCCCAAAATATGTTGCATATCAACAATATGATAAAAAGTAAACAGATACCTTGTATCCCTGATTTCTTTGACCGATACTCCTTTCCCTGAATGCCATAATGAAGCCATAAGATCCTTAAAATTTTGCAGTTTCACCATCCTGTTAGTGAGAATTGTACCGACAACCGGAAAGTCAACTCGTCACTCGCTATCCTCCCCATCGTTGTTGACCTCCTCATTGAAAATCAACTCCTTCTCTTCCCCGCCGATAGCCAAATTATCATGCTTGTTGACAATGGATTCCATGTTTTTTCTTCCCAACGTGTCGTACCCGATTGACGCGCTTCGTCTGCTAACCTGGGCTGCTGCACTTCATCGAAGAAGACGTAGCGGAGAATAAATGAAACCCTAAATAGAGGGGTAGGCCACTTGTTTGCTTCTTTTGATCTTTTATGAGTATACAAATCATAAATAGCGATATAGATTGTTCACTCGATATGGTAATATCACAAAATGTGTAAAAAATTCATAATATGTCTCTATTTCTCTTTTATGGAAATGAAATAGTTAATATCTTATTTTCTTACTTATTTCACACAATTTAAAATTTATGACGTTTAAATTATTTTTAGCTTTAATTTTCCGTCCCAATCTTCTCATCTTGTGCCAGGAAATATTGAAATAGCGGTAAAAAGCTTTCTACCCAGCTTGACGTTACGTTGATGGCACTATCACCTCCAAAACTATGAGCGTGTTGTCTTGTTGCTAAAGGCCCGAAAATCCCTGCTTAGATCCAGCAAGAGAAAGGACCTCGATTTCATTTTATCTCTTTAACTTCCTGCGAATCATAAAGTCGAAACACCTCTTCCGGAACCAACGGCTAAAGCTTTTTAGCAAGAGCTGATGATCTCTTCCGTCCAACCTATCTCCATTCTCGTTTTCTGCGCACTCTTCCTCTCCCGTACGGTTGTAGGAAAGGTAATATCTTTAGAATGTTGTGTGATATATATCGAGCGATTTTACTCGTCTGAACATGCGCAGATCTTGGCTTTTACTATGCATTTCTAACTGTCTAGATTCAGAAGTTCTTTCTTCGCTGCTAGTTTACTTCATACTTTCACCTTTAGTGCGTCTACATAGAAACTGAAACGCTATTGACAACTTACGACATTATACCATAGTTGGTCCATGGAATTTCAGATTTTTGTCATAGTGGAATACTAGAATCCATCACAAGATGGATGATTTGATATACTGATTCTGTATGATTGCTGGTTGGATAACCATAACTAAAGGGAGGTTTTACATATCTTAGTGTTAGACTGCAATGGAAATTTCATGCAAAGTTCGTCCTTTCATAAGGGGAGTGATTGTTTGGAATAAAAACAGAATTTTCACTTTTTTGACATTAGCATGTATGCAATCATCTAGATATTTTTACAAGATAGAAACTAAAAGTATGTAGCTTTCATCTTGAATCCAACACCACATGGATAAATAAATGGTAAATTTTCATTTCTAATGGACTTCAGGAATGGGATCCATCCTTTGGTACTAAAATGAGTTATTGATCTATCAGCTAAGTTCGAAAAAATCAAACCAAAGAATCAGGTCCCTGCTAAATTATAGCAAATGCATATTTAAATTGAATTAAATAAATAATCAGTTGATGTACCAGGGTTCCAAGTTAAAATACATGAAGTCCAATGAATTAGAGAATTGGTGAATCTAGTAAAGGATAAACCAATAGCCTTTTAACATGCTTAGAGTTGGGTGGTGAGTTGGTCAATGGTGGTCAGCTCAGACAACTGTGAGTCTGTGACACATATTACGATTATATGATCTCCAGAAAATGTACAGTTTACAGGTGAAGGCCACTTGCTGGAGGGCTTCGTGAAATCGGTGTAATTGAATCATTTGAAAGAAAACAGTAGGCCTCCAGTGGTGCCTACTGTGATGGATTGTCATCAAGCTCACCAAATAAGACTTCTGCAGGCAAAGGTTGTCCTTGAGGTTTTGTGGTCTTCTGGGTGATTAGGGAGGGAACAGTGATGTTGGTTTGTAATGGGGGTGAAGGAAAAAGAGACATAACGAATTCAACCAAGAACCATTATTGGCACTGTTCTCAGTGGGTAAACTTCTTCTGTAAAATTGAGAACTCATCGGAAAAGTGTGAACTGGTGGGCCACTGATAATGTTTACTATGCATAAAAGATAAAGAGAAAACTTTGTGTTCCCTATATACTTGAAAGATTACAATACCTGCCACATAAATAGGAAAAAAATACTTAAGCACCATTTAACAAACCGTACACAAAGTTACCAACTAACCTCACCTATCCTGCCCAAGCATTCCAGTAGCGGTCACTTCACATGGACCAACTTAACTGTATAAAGTGTAATAAGTTATACATTTTTTCAAACTTAGATGTCTATTAAGATATGTAACATGCTTTTATCCTATTGAATCTCATGTTAGTATTATCCTAGTGGGCCCAATCAGAGCATAAGGACAAGTGGGTTAAAAAAAGCCCCTAAATGTAGTAAATGCTAGGCTCTATGATGATGTTTTTTGATTGAATTAACCAAACATATTTAAGTTACTTGTCTGTTTGTTTGCGAGAAGGTCTCTTGTGGTGATACAGTCACCACATTTGTTACCAAATGCAACAAGGGATTGATCTACAAATGTTACCAACTTGGAAAATTTGATCCACATGCTCTATCTCAAGGGGGATTGATCTTCACAAAGACACAGTCTTGCATAATGATTTGTGGCGCGTTTGCACACAATATTACATCCCACTATTCTCGGTCTCTCTTTGTATAATAAGACATTGTTTCTTTTTAGAATATACTAGAAATATATATATATGAAGATAGGTTAATATTTCGAAGAATCCATTTTGGGACCTATACTTGTGTCTTAAGTCTTAACCGATCGGCCACTTTGGTGGATACTGGATAGCAGGAAGTAAAAAAACTGCAATGTAAATACAGTGGATAGGGTCGCGGTAAATAGTGGAAGCATAGCGGATTAGGTAAAATAAATTACATTTATTATAGTTAATAGTTATATTTGAATACTATACTAGATGCATGTTTCAATTTAAACAGCTTCTAGTATTCTTGGGACCAAATGCAACAAGGGTTTGATGTACACATGCAAACAACTTCGAAAATTTGATCTACATGCTCCATCTCAAGGGAGATAGATCCTCACAGAACACAGTCTTGTGGTAAAGCTTTGTGGTGCACTTACACACAATATTACATCCCACTATTTTTGGTCTCTCTTTGTGCCTGTGTTTCTTTTTGGAGTACGCTGGGAACATATATTAAGATAGGTTAATATTTTGAAGAATAGATTTTGGGAAATATTGGAGTTTATTGGATTTGTAACTATAGGTTAAGGCTTAAGAAGTTAACAATTAGAACTGATTAAATAACTGCAAAAGATGCCATTGTTGATCGCCTCATCAATCAATCTGTGCTTGTGTTAGTGACCAGCACAACATAGAGCAGGGTTCATTTGATCTCTTCACGAAGTTAATGAATTAGCTTATTTTTTCTAGTTTTAGAGCCGTATTTGGGAGTTAAACATATTTCTTTGTTGACGTTCAGTGAATTGTCAGCGGAGGACTTGTGGTAAAGTATAATTACTGTTACAGACTACAGTCTTACTTCAATGTAAAATCACACTCATTATTGACTACTACCTTCTTGAGTGATATGTATGGAAACAACTTTCCTCTATTCATGTCTTTGGCATTGGTTCATGGAATAGGCAGTAGGCACATCCTATTTTTCTTATACTTTTGATTGAAAATGAATTTGTTTTTGTAAATTTTACTTTCTTGTTCCATCCTGTAATTTGTTGCGACTAATTTTGTTTCTGAATTATTCTGCAGTACCAAGAAAATGATCCTGTCATATTATGGGTAAACAAGGTTGGGCCATATAATAATCCACAAGAGACATACAACTACTATAGCCTCCCCTTTTGTCACCCACCTGGCAATGTTGCACACAAGTGGGGCGGCCTTGGAGAGGTCCTCGGGGGAAACGAGCTTATTGATAGTAAAATTGACATAAAGTTTAAGAGTATGTGAAATCACAATTTTATTTATACCATGTTTTATTTGCCCTAATACTTTATTTACAATGTTTTTTTTTTACTTTATTTACAATGTTTATTTATTTGCTTGTTAGGAAATGTGGATAGGGGTTCTGTTTGTGAACTTGAGTTGGATCCAGCAAAGGTTAAACAGTTTAAGGATGCAATTGATAATTCATACTGGCTTGAGTTTTTCATGGGTATACACATTGGCCCTCTTACATATACTGAGTATTCTTTGCATCCTGAAATAAAAGAGTTTCCTGAGAACAACCTATAATTAAATGTGACATGATTGTTATTGCCACTTTCATCACTGACTTTTTCTTGTGTTGTGTTATTGACTGTGCCAATCTGCATAATGGCTTTCCTATTTTGCCATCAGATGATTTGCCGCTATATGGGGTATGCAAACAACTAATCACTTCCCGCTTACCTTTTTCTATATCTTTTAATGTGTACATTGGACAGTTGAATCATAAGTGAGATTAACAATGATGTTGTGGACAAATTTCAGGTTTCGTTGGTGAGGTGCTTCCTGATAGAAACCAAGATAATAAGCACATGTTTTATACACATAAAAACATTTTAGTGAAGTATAATGGGAACCAGGTAGATATGAATTGTCTCTAGTGTTAACTGTTAAGTGGTGGTACTTTTTCTCTTGCTGAGTTTGAGATGTTACTCTTGTAGATAATTCATGTTAACCTTTCACAAGAGAGCCCTAAACCCCTTGAGGAAGGAAAGACATTAGACTTGACATACTCAGTCAGTTGGACTCCAACTAACACCAGTTATGCACATCGTTTTGATGTTTACTTGGACTACCCATTCTTTGAGCACCAGGTACTTATTCATAGAATTCGTAGAACATATCCTGTCACGATCTCATCCCAGGGAATAAATTGTAAGCATATATTTAACAGTGCAACAGTTCTGTTATATCACTATTCCTTTTCCCCAATAGTATGCTCAACAAGTTTAGAAGAAATGAATGAACCGTGGAAAGAGGGAGACAGGGGGGATAAGTTTAACCCGCTAGGGTGGGTGTTTTGCTCCTATGCTCACCGCCTTAGATGTCAATATTTTGATGATTGAATTTCAATCATTCTAAGAGCTGGTAAAAATGGGTGAGAGCTGGTAAGTAGTAAAACATGGCTGCACAATAATTAAATAATTTTCATTATTTAATAATGAAATAATTTTATAAACATTTTCATTAAATAATTAAATATCTTAAATAATTAAATACTTAAGATATTTAATTTCGTTAGAGCCATTATTGTATAAACATTTTAATATCTTACTTGAAATTTAATTTCGTAATTTTTGCTGAAGTTTTACACTTAGAATTGGGGGACATGCCCGTCAATCCATGTGAACTCTAGTCTTTATCCCTTGACAGAGAGATGCCTAGTTGACTTTTTTTAAAAGGAGTAAAATGTTTAAAATCGATCATCTGATAAAACCCAAAATAAAAATAAAACATCTCTTAGAAGTTCGAACCTTGTTTATAAGATAAAATTTGACAACATAAACTTAGCAACTATTCATTGTTCTACTTGATTGGTCTCATAAGCAATATGTTTTACAGATCCACTGGTTTTCTGTTTTCAATTCGTTCATGATGGTTATTTTCCTCACTGGCTTGGTGTCAATGATTCTTATGCGCACTCTCCGTCACGATTATGCCAAGTATGCACGTGAAGATGATGATTTGGAATCTCTGGTAATGCTTTTCATGATGCATATTGGAATAGTGTCCGTTCGATTTCTTTATATGAGAAGACGTAGTACCTAAAGCATTTCTATTATTAACTTCTCAAGCACAGGAACGGGATGTAAATGAAGAGTCTGGGTGGACCACCACAGTATTTATCTTTGCTTTCGGCTGTTGTCGGCACTGGGGCTCAACTCGCAATGCTTGTTCTCCTTGTCATTATATTGGCAATTGATGGAATGCTCTATGTAGGGTATGTCCGTGACATGCTCTTGTGAAGGAATTACTAATATGTTTTCCACTTATTTGTGTTGCTTTCCCATTGTCTGTTATCATACTGTGCTTGCAACCAGGATTTCCTAAATCCCATTGAACCCACATCCCTAAGTTTTCACTTGCAAGCATAATGCATTAAATCTCGAGGATATCCAACCTTGTCTGTGTCATTCTAATCTAAGCTACCCGTTTCTACTGTTATCAGTGTTGTTATTATCTACTGTATTACCATTTGTATAAAGAATCTTCTCTGTTCTTGTAGCACTTCTGATATTATGCTTCGTTTTCTATTTATGGTTCAGGAGAGGATCAATTATTACAACCTTTATTGTGTGTTATGCATTTACATCTTTCATTTCGGGTTATGTGAGTGGTGGCATGTATTCACGTAATGGTGGTAAGTTGATTTTTCTTTTGTATTGTTGGGAACCATTACAATTTGACCAAACTGCTGTAATAATCAAAATTAATAATTTAGCACACATTGATATATAATATACTTCGTATATATCAATCTGATCTGACAGACGTAATGTGGATCTTGACAGGTAAAAATTGGATGAAGTCAATGTTTCTGACAACATCACTTTTTCCTTTTATGTGCTTTGGGATTGGTTTCCTTTTAAACACCATTGCTGTATCTTATGGATCTTTAGCGGCTATTCCCTTTGGTACAATGGTTGTTGTTTTTGTCATTTGGGCTTTCATTTCCTTTCCCCTTACTCTTCTTGGTACTGTTCTTGGAAGAAACTGGAATGGTGCTCCAAACAATCCTTGCCGTGTAAAGACCATCCCACGTCCTATACCTGAGAAAAAATGGTATCTCAAGCCATCTATTGTCTCTCTTATGGGAGGGCTGCTGCCCTTGGGAGCATTTTTATTGAAATGTACTTCGTCTTCACATCCTTCTGGAATTACAAGGTGAGTCTTTTCATCACCGTTCTTGACTTGCACAAGATCTATAGTTTTTTTGCTAGGGATGTGTACACTCATTAAACACTCCATTTCTTTTCTTGACAGGTCTATTAAGTCTATGGCTTTATGCTCCTTGTTTTTATTATACTGATCATTGTCACAATATGTGTGACTATATGTGTGACTATTGTGGGCACATATTTCTTGCTTAATGCTGAGAACTATCATTGGCAGTGGACCTCATTCTTCTCTGCTGCATCCACTGCCCTTTATGTTTACCTATATTCTATATATTACTATTACATCAAGACTAAGATGACTGGCTTCTTTCAAACCAGCTTTTACTTTGGATACACTATGATGTTCTGCCTCGGCTTGGGGATCCTTTGTGGTAGGTTTTCTCCATTTTCTTTTTGTAAAAAGAATTGTTTAGTACATCTTTGTTCTGCTTGTTTTAGCCCTTCTGTTAGGCTTGATGTTGATTGTGATAGTCTGGGCTTGATAATCTCAGGTGTTGTTGGACATCTTGGCTCTAATTTGTTTGTTAGGAGGATATACAAGAACATCAAATGTGATTGAATGTATGCATCCTTCAAGAACGAACACCTGCAGCTGTTTAGACAATTGCTGCATAAATTTGGTTCCCTGTTGATTTTTCTTATATAGGTCCAGGTGCATTAGTTCCTTGTAAGATTAGATACCATGACTGATTGACGAGTACATGAAACCATGTTTTGATAGCAGATGGGAAGGCATTTGCTCTTTTGGTTCTACACTATGTAAAGCTTTCTGTAACTTGTGCTATTCTGCACTTCTGCATCTACTTGGAAATTGGAATGTTTACTACTCTTTTTTTATTGTATAACAGATTTGACATTCCATTTTTATTCAATTTTGAGAAACATGTTTCTTTATCTTCTTGTTCTCTTGCGCACTTGCCCCCAAGATTTGTCATGCGCCAGAAAACCCCCGATTACCAAACCCTAGCTGAAGCATCAAGCTTGTTTTGAACACTAAATTGATTGAATTAGCTGAGTCTCTTGAAATTGATGAAATTATGGCTGAAGTAGTTGAATATGTTGAATTATGGATAATTTTTTTTAAATATATTTTATTGATGAAATGAAGAAAAAATTTCCACCAATTCAGCCATTTTTTTTTAATGAAAATAGTTAAAATGATCATTGATGGAGTTTAATCTAAGCAGGAGAGCTAATCTACGAGAGCAGATGAAATTTAGACAGCGTAAGACAATATTATTATTCTGGAACTCGCCTCCCTGGTAGGATGTGTATATGAAGTATTTATAGACCTTATGTTCCAGTTTTCTAGAAGGAAACTGATACACTTAATGCATTTAATTATAATAAGAGTCATGTAACGTCTCGAACGTTGTGCAATCATTGCTCCTCTAGGTCTACGTTTCTTCCGTTATGTCGTGCTGTTGCTAAATAGCTATGCGCGAATGATAGCTTGGCACATAAACCCTAGGAAGTGACCTCGCTAGAACTCTGCCCCAGGCTCGAGGTCTGCTGACGGCTGTCCAGCCTGGCCTGGTTGTGGATTCCTTTTGCGGGTCGTATCCTTAATTAGGTCCAGCAGCTATTTATCTATTATTTATCCCGATTGATGGGCTAATCCCGTTGACGGGCTTTGTTTTAATTTAATCTTGGGCCATGGCTGTGATCCATGGTACAATCACGGGCCCCATACTCTCTAAAATCAGACGGGCTGTACTTCAGGAGAGTAGTTTGATTTTGAATCTTGAATTTTTCATTTGTGGTGCCGCTTCGCATTAAATGTGAGTGGCACGTGCCTGGCTTCACGACTTTCCACTCTTCCGTCCCATCTTCAGCACTCGAGTGCCTTGGTAGCGGTTCCAGAGCGGTTTGAGGGGCATTCGGGTTCTCACTATAAAAGGTTCACTCTCTTCTTCGTGCAAACCTTCTCATAGTCTGCGTTCTTCAAACCCTAGGTGAGAAAGTTTCCTCCGCCGATTCAACCCTTCTTTTCAGGTCATTTCGCCTATGTCTTCTTCCAGTTCCGTTCCCTTTTATAATGTTTTCCCTGACGATGAGGCTAGCTCCAACGGGCCTAAAATCCAGGTGGATTCTCGAGGGATGGAAACTCATTTCTATCTTTTCGCCGACTTTGCTTGCGTGGTTTTGGTTGTTGCCATCTCCGATTCCGAATTCAATGAGGCGGCGGCCCTGGTTGGGCCCAACAGCATCTGTTCTCACCCTACTCCGGGGCATAACATTGTAGAACCCCCTTTTCCCCTTCATTTTGGGGTCCATCTGTCTAGCCTCGAAATGGGCCTCCATTTTCCCCTCCACCCGCTCTTCTGCATGTTATGGTCGACTACTGGGTCATCCCCGATCAACTCATTCCTACCACACATTTGTTCATTGCCGGGTTCATAGCCCGGTGCCTTTCTCTCAATATTAGACCAACCCTAGATCTGTTCTTGACATTCTTCCACTCGGTCCGGTTTAACGCCTTCGAGGCTCGGGGATTCTTCTCAATCTCTCAGAGGGCAGGCTATCGCCTGCTTGATGCCAAGTCCTACCGTGATTCTTTCAAGAATTGGAGGTACAAGTGGGTGTGGGTGACTCCGGTGGATGGGAAGCTTCAGTTTGATAATAAGTGGGAGGGGGGGGGTTGATCCGGCAGTGGACCATGCCCATCTTGAACGAGGGGAGCGAGTTTGCTGCTAAACTCATCGCTGAGGGTTCGCCCTTTTTTATGGGTCATTACCTAGGTGAGGATGGGGTGGTTATGCTTGAGTTTTCGTCATCAGGTCGAATACGCCTGATTTTGAACCTAACTGTGTGTTGTTCTTTGTTCAGATGGTGAGGAGATGGCGTCTAGGATTGGGCGGTTGGCTGCAAAGGCTGATTCGACCCCAGGTTCCCTGGTTTCGGCCAAGAGGGTTTAGAACTGGGGTGCTATTGAAGCCGCTTCAGAGAATCCTAGCGGGTCCACACACGGAGATGGTGCTCGGACTCTTGCAACGCCGGACGTCGGCCTCCCCTGACGAGGGGGGCTGGGAAGAGGCTGGAATCCCAGCCCATCTCTGTGCCCAAGGGGAAGAAGTTCCGAGCGGTTAAGAACCTTTCCGAAACCGTCTCCGATGTTGAGTCCGATTCTGAGAGGTCCTTGGAAGGTGACAGTCAGGGGGACGCCCTGACACCTCTGTTCAGTCATGGTGACCATGCGCTCCAGCTCCGATTCCCTGTTCTACCAAACGATCAACCCAGTCTCCTTAGCTCTGGCCATTACTCCTCCAGCTGACGCAGAGGAGCTCGACAATCTCTCCTCCAGGTCGGTTCTCCGGCGTGCGGTTCACGCCATCTCTGAGGTAATACGCTTTCTTTGTTTGATTGTCGTCTTTAACTTCCTACTAGGGCTGTCTTACACCATGTTTGTTTGATAGCATTGACGGATGAACGAGGTGCAGCTTAGATCGAGGCTGGATCGTGATCGAAGCCTTGATCGACCATTCCACGGTGGTGGAGTTGGTATTCATCCATATTGCAAGAGCCCACCCTCCTCCGAAACCACCTCCATACCAGAAAGAGCTTTGTGGAAAGATTTTATTCCAGTATCATTTTCTCTTTAGTAGCAATTGTTTCTGTTTTAGTCTGAGTAGACTTGGTTTAGATGTTTGGATTTTTGGAATTCTTTTGATGAGCAGGGTTTCGGTTTCGGTCGTTTTAGAGCTAAAATTGCCTGTTTCAGGTTTAGCGAGTCATGTTGCTTTGTATGAGATGACTGACTCTAAGTCTACTCCTAGGATTGAATTTGTAAATTTTGTCTGAAGGTTGTCTTATATGTTTCTCGATTTTAATATTACGTCTGCTCTTTTATGATAAAAGATTACTGCGTATAATTTTAGCGTAATCCTTCCCTTCCCAAATTTAAAATGGCTAAAAAGAACAAGATTTTCTTTTAGTTATTGTCCTAAATAGGACTAATGAGTCACTAAAAAGCACAAATATGACCACTACTTTTTAAATTCCCCATATAGGACTAAACATTGATTTTCTACCCTAATTACTCCTAAGGTATTAATTCATTATGAAATATTTTAATTCATAATAAAATCATAACAATAATAAAAAAATAATAAAATTAATAAATATTTATAAAATAAAAATTTAAAAAATAATAATAAAACCCATAAAAAAAGGAATACCTTCCCCACCGCCTCCCAACACTACCACCTCTGATCGGTGAAAGAATGTCATTTTTTTCCTCAGAAAATGCTAAAAAGATTGCATTTTTACTCTTCAGTATGCCAAAATTTTCATTGAATCTCCCTTCATTATGGCATTACTAAAAATGTTGGCAGATACCGCGTTTATTTATTTATTTATTTATTTATTTATTTATTTATTTATTTATTTATTTATTTATTTATTTATTTATTTATTTATTTATTTATTTATTTATTTATTTATTTATTTATTTATTTATTTATTTATTTATTTATTTATTTATTTATTTATTTATTTATTTATTTATTTATTTATTTATTTATTTATTCATTTATTTATTTAAGTTTTATTTATTTAAGTTTTAATTCTTTTTTAATATTTTATTATTATTTTTGAAACTATTTATATTTTTTAAATTTCATTAATTTTTATAATTTTTTCAACGATTTTTATCATTTTTTTACGATTTTTTATAACATTTCAAAAGCTACAAAGGTATATTTGTCCAAACACACATAAGTAATTCTAATGGAATAATTTAAAAAATACTTGTATAAATCTATTTGTACAATTTTGTTACTTTTTAGACCTATTTAGGAAATTTACTCTTTCTTTCTCTTCTCGCTAACCCTTCTTTAAAAGTACTAAACCGGCTCCGGAAACATAGGCTTCGTATCTCGCAATGTATTGGACTATTGGGAGTAAGCCCGCCTAAAATCCAGCACACATTTACACTACGTGGATTACGTATACGTACGTTCCAATAAAGTATGAATTTCTACATCGAAATACGGAACTGATAAAATACGGATATTCTACTGTTTGACATGGAGTATAAACAACAATAAACACTCTGCTTCCTCTATCTCTTTCCCGTTCTCTTGCTTCTCCTCACTGCAACACCACAAAATTCACCTGAAAACCGAGG